ACCTTCTCCACCTCATCCTGTAGCTCTATATTTTGTAACAGCACAGCTCATTCTTCTGTATATGATGTATAGGTCAACCCTCAGCCTTGGCTAATACAAGGTGATTTTCAGAGCAGACAAAATCTCACCATCAGCCAAAAATTAATTTTCTTAACCTTTTTTAAGTTTCATAGGATGGAACAGAATATTGAAATAAAGGCAAAGAAGTAAGAATTACATTGCAAGACTGAAGAGATGGCTCAGCAGTTAAGAGCACAGAATATTCTTCCAGTGGACAAGGGTTTAATTCTCAACACCCTTGGGGCAACTCAAAACCTTCTTTAACTCCAGTTTTAGGAAGTTGGATGCCCTCTTCCAGTCTCAGCAGGCATTGTACAAATGAGGTGCACAGATAGTCATACAGACAGAACACCAATATGCCTAAAATAACATAATCCTTAAAGGGGAATTATAATGCACAGAATAAAGAGAGCTATTTAAATTAAACTATGTAAATAAATAACATCTATGTTACAAATTAAAAATGTTTCCATACTGTCCAGTATTTCTGGGAGGAGAGCAGTATATTTCACAGGATTTAATTCAGAACTCAGCACAGATAAGCACCATCATTAATGCACCAACACACTTATGTGAGCCTTCGAATATCGCAGGTGCTCTGCTCACAATATGGCTGGAAGTTAGAATAGAAAGTCTTGAAACTTTGCTTTCACTGACAGCAAGTAAATGCTAATTTTCCTTAACTGGGGAGATTGCTCTCTAAAACAAAACATACAGCCCATCTATATGTTAATAGCTGCTTGTTTAGGCAAATCGCTTAGGGGTTTCGTGACTATAAACATGTCATCTTACTTTTGACTTTTAATGGGCTGATTACTAGCTCTGACAAGAAATACGACTCTCGTGGCAAAAGAATACAAAATTTAATAAGTTCTCCAAGTAATGGCATGCCTAGTGTTACTGAGGCTGATGTTGTGATGCTGAAGATGACTAATACTTTGTCGGAACCATGCCTGCAGTGGTGTGTTCAACACTTTCCTGAGGCAGCTCAGAGAAAATGTTTCTGAAATGCCATGTGGCAGGGATGGAAGAATTTAAAACACACAATTAAGATTCATTTAAATACGGTGAGTAAAGCTGATTTAGCATACGTATGACTGGGTGTTCATTTTTGCTCTAGACCCTACACACCTGATAGTAGACTACTTGCTATTAGACAAACAAGCAGCACCAAGAGCGTCCTTGCATAAGATGTATTTAAAAGTTCTTTATTTTTTGGCTTCTTTTTTATTGATTTTCATTGAGCTCTATATTTTTCTCTGCTCCCCTCCCTGCCTCTCCTCTCACCTTCAACCCTCTCCCAAGGTCCCCATGCTCCCAATTTATTACTCAGGAGATCTTGTAATTTTCTACTTCCCATGTAGATTAGATCTACATATGCCTCTCTTAGAGTCCTCATTGTTGAGGACCCTAAAAGTTCTTTGGTGACTTGAGAGATGAGTGAACTGGAAACAAATCACTTTTCCTAGGGAGAATCACTTTACAAAGTTTCCTATGCCCCTGTCTTTATTCTTTCCATCTTCTCTTGAATCTGGTCTCGCAAAGTCAGAACATAAATGTGAATTGCGGGGCAAGCACGTAGCGCATACATTTGCATGGATGAAAGGCAATAAATGAATACTAGGGCAGAAGTAGCGAGGTAGAAAGCAGAGTTCACAAATTGAAGTTCATCAACATTAGCCATGTAAAAATGGTAAGTTCTGGCTAGTTAGATTTCCCATGCTGGTGCTTTTCACGCAAAAGGAAAACCCAATGGAGTTCGAATGAGACGGATTGAGGTCACAGAAAAGCCCCCATTTCTTTGTCTTTCAGGAGGAGCTCTTGGGCTATCCAGGTATGATGTGTAGCTGACTCTTACTGTTACTATATGAAGTCACTGCATCATGTCTGAGCAATAAAGGGCATTCTCTCTTCATCCCAGTGCTTGTTAAGGTTTCATAACCCCCATCTTCCAAGAGTTGGAGGGTGTAAGGGACAGGGGAGAACTGTATTCAGTGGGAAATGTGCCAGGCCTGGGAAGCTAGGGTCCTTTCACAAGGCATTCTGGAACAGACCAACATGGGCTCAGAGAGTTTATTTCTTAAATTCTCAAGATTTCTGTGAGACAGTTATCAAATATAATTATTATTGTAAATTGAATTATACACATTCAAATAAATCATAATCAAAACAGAAGTGCTAAATATCTGAAGTGTTGGGAAGCTCCACCCAGCCCAGTTACTCTCTTTTCAGGCCTAGCCCTTGAGAAAGCTCATTCCAGAGGGCATTAAAAGGCCCCTCCCCATGGTTTCTCTTAGTGGTTTTCTCCTCTTCCCCTGGGACCATCCAAAAATGTTTTGCACAGATTCAACCTGAATTTATTAATTTGGTTCAACTGGCTTATTACATCAATAAAGGTGGATATCCAATAACCAAGGATTCAAAACTTATCATAAAGTTCATTCGTTTATAATTATTTTGACACATCCTTCTTTATCTGTGCTTTTAAAGATTTTTGTGTCTCTTACTTTATCTGGATAGTCAAAATATTATGCAAATGTTTGCTATAAGTAGCTGAAGTGGGAATACTAAAGCAAAGACATTGGAAACGTTACAAATTGGGGTGTGACTTATTGTACATTGAGCAATGGTCTTAACAAATTTGTGAGTAAACATATTTCAGTAATGCATGCTGAAACTACAATATGTACTGTCTGTAACCACTGTATTCTCAAACAAAATTCATAAATTATCTTTCAGTGCCTGAAAATTATTATACAGTTCAGAAAAATAAATCTGGTCATAATGGTGATGAAATTCCAATATTGTTTCAGTGTCTTTTTTCTCCTTAAAGCAAATACAAATATTAACCAATATTCATGTCAAAACTATTAATTCAACTATCCACTATAAACCCTTTATATAAATAATGTGAGCATGTGTGGTATAATAAAGCAATAGAAAAAAGTATGCTAGCTGACGTTTTGTTTTTCTTGTCAACTTAACACAAGCTGTCATCATTTCAGAAGAGGAAACCTCAGGTGAGAGAATAACCCTACCAGATTGGCCTGGACATTTTCTTAATTGATGATTGATGTGGGAGTCCCACTCACTCTCGCTGGTATCACTTCTGGCATGGTGGTACTGAGTGTGCATGAAAAAGCAGCTTGAGCAAACCTCGGGGAGAACCCCAAGAAGCTTCATTCCTCATGGCTTCTGCTTCGGTTTCTGCTCCTAGGTCCTGCCTGGAGTTCCCACCCTAATGCTGATCATGGACTGTGATATGGATTGGTAGATGTCTTATCATAGCAATAGAAACTCTCTCTGAGACAACACATTTGCTTTCTTTAGTGTGGGATCTAGTTCTCACATGCTTATAATCAGCCTTCTGCTTTTACCATAGAGCAACAACTTACTTTGGGGGTTGGAGTTTAATTTTATGAGTTCCCCTTAGGCAAATTAGTGAAATGGGTATCTCCCAGAGAGTAATTTCAGGAGTCAAAAGAGATGTTTGTGGAGAAACGCTATATAGACAGAATGTAGGCATTGTCATAAATTCAGCAACTATGTTCCCGCTTCTGGGTGCTAAACATTTGTAGTGTTTACAAAGAATGACTTTTGATCCTAACTTCATATTGCTTACAATGATTAGACAATCACAGATGTTTCTGTGCATATATAAAAATCAAGGGTTGACCGAATATACTCAGTTTTCTAATTTAAAAGTCAAGTTCATTTCTAAAAATCACTGGGTAAGTTATCCATTGATTTTTTCCCTAAGGTTGAAGAAAAAAAGCTCACGTGCAGTTTTATATATTTCAAGAAAACACAATAAATACGTTTGGTGCGTGTTTCTCATAGTGCAGCATAGGTTGTCCAACAGGCTTACGAATTTATCTCTTTTGCGTGGATTAAAGAACAATGAGCACGTACAAGATGAAGCTTTAGGGGAAAACTGGCAAAACTGGAAAAATAAAAACGTACAAAAGCCTTCAGGAACAAAGACTAACTCATTACGTCGCCGGATTAATGAGCCCTGCTAGAGTTACAGCCGGTAAAGTTCGCGCAAAGCTTCTCCGCTGGCTTGACTAAATACCCTAGTTACACCTCTGAGATTTGCGGCAAAGCAAACGCAATGCATTGCAGAGGGCAAATTAATCTCACTCACAAAAGTCTGGCTCCAGAGGTTACAGCCTTGACTTCTGGTGACCATGAGACAGACCAGTGTCAGCCCCGATAACAAAAGGATAGCGAGGATTTGCCTAGAGCCAGAAAGGTCTTTTTCTTTCCACCCTGGTTTCCAACTTCCAATTCCACCCATCCCATGGGCAAGGCGCCAAACCGAAGAGAAGCCCTGTCCACTCCCCCAAGATTGCTCTCGGTCGGTAGCAGCTCGAACATGCAACATTTCAAGATAATCAAAAGCAGAAACGAAATGGCAGAAGCTCAACTTGTGCTTCCCAAGCACATCCGAATCCAGTCCTGGACTCCTCAACTATCACCTTCCAACTGCTGGAAGAACCACCAGAAAACTGAGGCTCCTGCTGTCTCAGAAGCGCCAGCTTCTAATTAAACATTCTGTCTCCTGAAAACCGTCCAGATAAGATCGAGCCCTGAACCCCGCTATAACTTCAGCGGGTTTGCAGAGGGTGCACGCGCCAGGTGTCCGACAGGGGGGTGGGGAAATCACTCTCCCGGAGCGCCACCCCAGCTGCCCTAGGACCGCGTGGCGGCGACGCAGCGCACCGGACCAGAAGTAAGACCGCGCCCTCCTGCGGGCAAGAGCTAAGGGGCTGAAGGCACAGACGTCCTGGATGGGACAGCGAGGGTGGGAATCCCTCCAGTGCTTTCAGCGGGCTCACGGGTCCTTAGCCCTGAGCTGCGGATCCAAGGAGAGACCTCCACAAGCCGGTTCGGGAGGAAGGACTGCTCCCAGAACCCGGACTCAACGGGGCACTTACCAGCTGCAGCGCGCAGAGACAGATGAGCGAGCAGCGCCCGGTGCAGCAGCCCATGGTGTGGCCGGCGTCCCAGCAGCGCGGCTTGAGAGAGATCTGTGAGCTCAGACACCGGTGCCCGTGACTTCTGATCACCCCGCGCTGCGCGCTCGCCGCCTGAGCAGCCTCTGGGCCCCGTGGCCAGCTTTTGGCTCGCTGCAGTCGGGTCGGGCTGGGGCTCGCTGCCGCCTTTGTTAATCTGCACGCAGGGCAGGCGGAGGTCAGTGCGGAGCTCCCGAGCCGCTGCTTTGCCGGGGGTCCCTGCCTCCTAGCGCGCGGGTCTGCTTCTTGGGGAGGGTGAGCCGGACGGGAGGGCGGGGGACCAAAGAGGCTACAGCTGATGAGTGGGTGAATGCCTTTTAGGGGAGGGGAGTGTGCTGGAGGTGGGCGTCTGGAAAGTGTGGTGGGCTGTCTGAGTAGGCGTGTGAGCTTGTGTGCCTGCGACTGACTGAGTCTCTCTCTCTCTCTCTCTCTCTCTCTCTCTCTCTCTCTCTCTCTCTCTGTCTGCCTCGGGGTGTGTGTGTGTGTGTGTGTGTGTGTGTGTGTGTGTGTGTGTGTGTAAGAGAGAGGATCGCCTTGTCTTGTTAGGAGTCTGGGGAAAGAGAAAGAGATTGTGACTGAGAGAAAGCGAATGAATATGAATGAGTGACAATCTGGGAAGCCCCTGGGGATTTGCGTCTGTGGTGCTAGGAACAATCTCAGGGTCGCAGGCCTTGGGGTTTTCCCTTTGGGTGTGAAGAGTGGGTTGGAAGCCTCTGCTAAACAGGGAGCTAGGTTTAACCAAGAGGCCTCGAGGAGGTACAAGTTCAGTTTGGTGGTGTATGGAGAAGAATGGCCCAGAGGCTTGAAGGTGAGAATGAACGCGCTCTACACAACACAAGGCAAGATCCAGACAGTGGATGCAGCCACCGTGGAAGGAGGGAAGAGGCTGTGGGCATGACCATAAGAGGAGGCTCTCTAAGGGTTCTGGCACACAGCTCTGGGTTCAGGTCATGGTCACTATTTTCGCGCAGGGCGCCCCTGCTGGAATCTTGTAGAAAAAGTTGACTAGGATCGCAGCAGAGAATAATGTTCCCCCAGGAGCTCAGAGACCAGAGACACTGAAAATTATCTTAGGGATCTAATTCAGAGTGCCCTAGGATTCTTCACTGAGACATCCATTGACAAGGGGAAGGCGAGGGCCGTGCATGGCCTTTTAATAATAATGAGGTAGTCCTAGAATAAACGCAAATGTGAGGTTGTGCAAAGAGAAATAAACTGAGAAAAGTCTGAGAATAAAACCTTATTCTAGTTAGTTAAGGTACCAGACAAACTCCATGAATTCTAAAGAAATTCTCAGATTCCTCTGCCCACCAACAGAAGGGAGCCTGGGAGTTCTGACTTTAATTTCCGCAGGGCTCAGCACAAGTAGCTGAAATAACTCTCTATGAGAACCAGGAATAAAACCCTGACCAATTGCGTTTAAAGAGGCCGATTTCAGAGTAAGACTCCAAACACTGTTTACCCCACTGCTGCCCTCCTAGTAGGTTCTTGATTTATAGATTAAGAAAAGGTGAAAGCTAGGTGGTGTCTCAGGCCTGCTGTTTCAACACCCTGGAGGCGCAAGTCAGCTGGTCTCTTTGAGCAGAAGGTCAGCCTGGTGTGTAAAGACAGGACAGGTGAGGAATTTTCATGGTACCTTTGCTCCTTATTTGTAGATTTTCCCAATCCATTCAGGCATAAAAGATATTTGGTTTTTGTTTATCTTGTAATTAAGTGTCCTGTTCTTTCAATTTTTCCAACAGCATTCATTGTTTTTCTAATTTAGCAATATTGTTTCAAAGAAAAATCTACTTATGATATCCCTGGAATTGTACTAAGAACAGACAAGTTATCTCAAATTGCTGTCTAAAAAAGTCAAGAGGGTTTATTGTTGAAAGTCCAATTTTTGTTCATTCTTGTGAGAAGGAAGACGGGTAGTCAGAAGTCTTTTTATTTATTTCTTAACCTAACTTTAAGACATCCCTGTTCAAGGACCATGAGGGAGTGCTGGTTTTATACACACAGAACATATTCATGGCCATCATTGCAGAGTGAGAGCAGTAAAGTGATAGACACTGGCAAACAAAAAGTTTAATGTATGGGGAAAGACTTGCAGAATGTCTTAGCACTGACTACTCTAGTGACTGAAGGAAAAGGTTGCAGAAGAGGGAACAGATAAGTCTGCCTACGTCTTACATAAACTGTAGCCACCACTTCATATCCTGAGGCTGTGATGAACCATGAGAATGAGACCAGTGGTCCTTCTCTTGAGCTCACCCACAATGGATTTTACTTGGGATTTAATTCATCTATTCAGGAAGCGCTATACAATAGTTAACCTGCTCCCAAGGCTTGTCAAGTGCCAGGCAGCAGCCGCTGTGCCTATTCATTCATTTGATCCCCACAATAACCCCACTGAAGTAGATGCATAGACAAGCTGTGGGTACGGACAGAGAAAGTTCCCTGATGACCACATGGAGGCACAGGGATACAGAGGCAAGTCAATCTGATTTGAAAGCCTCTGGGCATCATCTCACCTTGCTGTCACTAAAACCTAGGGCACAGAAACACTCACCTACTGGCCAGGGCATGTAGGGACATGCTGGGGGAGGGTGCTCTCCTAGAGGAAGCTGTGGTGATTTGTACTGGCCACTCCCCAGAAGCAGTGTTAACAGGTGAGATGGTTTTAAAAAACCTGAAGCCCGCTTATGCTTCTGCCTCATCTCCCAAGAGAGCCAGATTGGAATTTTGTCGTTGTATAATTCAAACAGTTGAAAATGCATTGGTTTGTTTTAAATGTATCTTTTTAAAAAGGCAACTTTAATAGCAATTTTAGAGGTTTATGAAGCTTTGCTTTTTGTTGGTTGCATCCTTTATGATTTATCTTTAAATGGTACTAGAAATCCCGAGCTGCCGACATACCTGTTATTAAACATATTAGTGCATTGCAGGGCATTTTGTTGCTGTTCCTTTGTTTCTTTGTTTCTTCCCCCCTCTTGTATCTTATTTATTTATTTATTTGATAAATCTCCTTTAATAATCTTTCTTCCCTAATACTCTGAGATTTACAAATGAAAAGGCCTATAAGGGGAAGAAAACACACCTAAAATATCAGATCTGAAAGTGCAGATTTCTGGATGTCTTAGTTGAGTTGTACTTATTCAAGGAACTTGGGATCACAGGTATTTTGGAATCTTTTCATAAACACAACAAGATACTTAAGGGATAGGACCCAAGCTTAACCATGAGATTCTCTTCTCTTTGCTATGCATCTAGTCTAAATGAATTTTCACACATGCTTGAACCTTGACAACAACATTTTCACAGGTGAAGTCTCATTCATGCCTGCGGCATCATTCTGAATTTTCAGAATTTAGAGTGTCTCCTTTGAGCAACTGGTTTCCTGTTTCTCCTTAAATAAAGACTCAGTCTGGAAGTTTCTTTCTGATTATTTTGTGGACTTCATATTTCTTTTGCAGTTTTTCTTGGGGTCTGAAATATGTAACTAATGCAAAATAATAATGTATATTATCATTTTGTGTGTGTATCGAAGGCTTTTACAATTCAAAATCTATTGCTTATGAAAATCATTTTAATTATTGTCTTAGTTACTGTTCTATGGCAGGAAAACGACACCATGACCAAGGCAACTCTTACAGAATAAAGCGTTTAATCAGCGAGCTTACTTGGATTTTCAGAGGATGAGTCCCTGGTCATCATGGCAGGGAGCATGGCAGCACAAAGGCAGGCATGACCCTGGAGCAGTATATACCCTGAAATATACAGAGAGCTTTATACCCTGGTCCACAGGATATGCGAAAGGAAGAGAGAGTCACCAGGCCTGGCCATGGGCTTTTGAAATCTCCAGGTTCACTCCTAGTGACACACCAGCTCTTCCTCCTTCCCCAAACGTTTACAAATTGGGTGCTAAGCATGCCAATACATGAGGCTATGGGAACATTTTCATTCAAACCACCGCAGTTCTCCATTTTTCCCTAGTATTTTAGCATGCACATAAAATCCTGAAGAAATACACAACTACACAAAACACACTATTATCTTATTTAAAGGAAACATTAAGCTAAACTTACAGTTCAAAATGAATGCTGTTTTAGTTTTTTCCTGTGTGTTTAAGTGTTTGCTTTCCTGATGTGGCATAAGAGGCAGAACACAGGGCCTTGCTCTAGCTCCGTCCATAGTACTTGCTCTGTCCATGATCTGAATCACTCACTGTCCCATCGGGCATTTTCATTCAAGTAATTGAGATGAGGTTTAAATGACCATTAAAATAGCAAAAAAAATGCATACCATCCAATAAATTAGTAACAAGAGAATGAACAATCATTTCTTTAATCTGTACTGTGATATATAACTAATGACTCCAGAGAGAGTAAGAATCAGCCTCTCCCAGAGATGAGCCCCTAATTGGTCATCTAATACCAAATGGCCAGCCCTGAAACCACACACACACACACACACACACACGCACACACACGCACAGGGTAGTGTTCATCACATTATCTAATACAAAATGGTCATCCCTGAAATCACATACACACGCACACATACACATACACACACACACACACACACACACACACACACACACACACACACAGTAGTGTTTATCTGATCAGGGTAAATTTATTTCACTGTGTATTATTATACACATAGGTACATATACAGATACATAAGCTGACATACATATGTAAAAACAATCAAAGAAAAAGAGGCTATCAGTTTGAGAATGAGGTTGCATGGAAGGAATTGGAGAATTTGGAAGGGGCTGGAGAGAGGAAAGTGAAGAAGAAAGTGATGTAATTATGTTTTATTTAAAAATGTATAAAAATTTCACCCAAGGTAATCCAAAGTTCACAGGAGTCAAAAGAAAACCTCTTTATGAAGGTACTTTTTTATCCTATGTAGCCTTTTGCAAACATAAAGCTTGTTTGGATATTTCAAAAAATATATTTCTGGGAATGAGAAGTAGCATTTGAAGCTGAACTGTATCTACCAGCTCTTTTTGTATTTGGAGTCTATATGTGTCCTCAGTAATGCCGTAGGTTCATCAAAAAGAAGTCTAACTCACCATGAGAGAGCATGTTTCTAATGTGTTTATTTTTTACCAGTGGACTTTCTGTAATGTGCCTATGCTAAGAGGAAATGAGGAATGGAATTTTTTTAACTTTTTTTTTATTGAGAAAAGAAAAAAAAAACAAATTTCCTCCTCCTCCCAGCCTCCCATTTCCCTCCCCCTCTTCCCACCCTTTTCCCCCTCTCCCCCTCCCTCTCCAGCCCAAAGAGCAGTCAGATTTCCCTGCCCTGTGGTAAGTCCTAGGTCCTTCCCCCTCCGTGCATTTCTAGGAAGGTG